AATTATAATTAATTGGCTAAAATTGCCCAATAAAATATACAATAATTTGAAAAAAAACAGATAAAAAAATAAATAAAAATATAAAATTGAATTTTTAAACTCAATTGTTTATGTATTAAAAAAAATAAATAAAATATATTGATTTTTTGAATAAATTTTTAAAATATTAATAATATATTAAAATTAATATTGTTATAGATAAAATATTATATTTTAAAATTTATATTAATGTTAAAATTTTCATCTTTACTATTGCTGTGTTTGTATTTTTTTCTTACTTTTTACTCATATTTTCTCTTAAACATTAATTTTGATTGTTTTTTAATTGAATTCAATTTTTTTGTTGAATTTATTTTTATTATTCATTTTGTAATAAATATCAACTTTAAACATATCTTTCGTCTTTGAGTTTCAATCCCGTTGACGATTACAATTCAAGTCTCCATTTTTGAATTTACATTCAAAATCGCAAATTTATTCAGAATGAATATTTTTTCTTTTTACAACATCATGCTGACTAATTTGTCATATTTGTTTTTTGAATTCTATTTTTATAAGTTTTTCATGATTATTTATCCAATTGTATTATTTCCTTACATATTTTATATATTATAGTTTATGATAAAAAGTGTAAATTCGATAATTTTTTGTTTCCTTTATTTTTTAATCTTTATTTCCATAACATTTTGTATTTATTTAAATATATAATGTTTTAATGTTTTTATACTTTAATTGTTTTAATTTTTGCAGATTATGGAAATAATATAATATTTAAAAATTATTTGTAATTCATTTCGAATAATTAGACAAATTTTCAACTTAACTAAGGTAGAAATGTTAAATGCTTTAACAAAATGTTTAAAAGCATTAATTTACAAAAAACTTCTTAATTGTTTTAAAATATATACCTAATTGTGATTTATTATAAAATACAAATAATGAGTTTTTACTTAAACGAAAATTAATCAAATTGGTAATAATAATTTGATTCTTTGGTTAAAACGTCATCTCTTTTGTGAATTCCACAGAAACATCCCATCCACAGACAACAATCTGGACACAACAAAGGACATTTATTTCCATCTTTAATTCCATTAAAAAAGCTAGATAAATAAGTAAATACAACACCAACAATGAGTGGAATAAACGCCTTTATATAATCTATTTTCAAATTATCCTTATTAAATTTCACAACATAACACAAACACAAAGTTGTCGCTAAAAGTGCGAATGGAACAATTCCAACAACCGACACATAAAATGATTCAAAACACCCCGGAATACCCTTTTCTTTGTAATTTTTCCCAAAAATAGTATCATTATTTTCGCCTCCATTGATTCGGAATATGAACATAATGAATATGGCCAACCAACAACATCCGCTGATCAACTCTACAATTACAATCAGGACAAATATTAAAGAAATGAAAACGATACCACTTGTGTACCCAAAGATATCAGGTCTAATCAGTTTCACAAATAAAAGAATAATTAAAGTGATGACACCTGGACACATTAAAACGGACTTACACAACGAAAAACAATGAAAATAAATACGAACTTTCGTTGGTTTTGTTGTATT